CCAGCATACTCACCATCCAGCATACTCACCATCCAGCATACTCACCATCCAGCATACTCACCATCCAGCATACTCACCATCCAGCATGCCTCACCATCCAGCATGCGATCACAATATGGGGCTTGTATTCCGCAATGGCTGCTTCCGCATCACACGCTATCACTTCATCCCCTGCCTCCTCACGACCAGACTCTCCCCTTGAAGCACCACTGCCCTCCCTGGAAGCACCACTGTCGGCGCCAACGAGGCTGCGTGTGGCAGCATAACCGCCAGGCAGCCTACGAGGCATGGCATCGGTGGCGATCACTCTCATCCACAGCCCCTCCAACCGCACCCACTCACCACCAGTCCCCCTCTCCTTGCCACTCCTCCTGCCATCCTTCCGTTCAAAAATGCCTTTTACCATTTTGTGGGGCTGCTTCTCTACCTCACCCTCCTCGTTTCTCAGGTGCTGCACTTCGCCTTGTTCCTCATCTTGTTCCCATTCCTCCCTCCCCTCACCCTCCTGGCCCTCCCCCTCTGCACCCTCCCCCTCTGCACCCCCCCGCTCTGCGCCCCACTCTCGCAAGCACTGCCGCAGCTTGCAGGCCAACAGGCCATCGCCTGCCCCCACCTGCCTGCCGCACGTGGGAGGGGCGGGAACATGGAGATTGTTGAGAGGCAACGAGATGGATAACGAGAATTGCACGCGGGCATGGCACCTCATGCCCCGATCTGAGTGAAGGCAACTGAGAGCGAGGAGAGGTGAGAAGTGGGTGTGGGGCAACGGATGGTTGGGGAAGGGAGTGGCCAGAGAGGTGTGGTGGGGGGTGTGATGGATGGGTACAGGACGGTGAGACCTAATGCAGGGTGGGACAGAAGGAGCAGGCGTTTGGGTGTGAAGATTAAGCAAGAGGTTTATAACAAGCTGCATATCATGGCAGGCAGAACAGAGAAGAGCAGAGCAGAGCAGAGCAGGGCAGGGCAGGGCATGGCCTTCACCAAGGCAAACATTGACAGCAATGCGCCTCATCCAACTATCCCTCCCGCCAACCCCCGACCCCACCACCACCACTGCGTCCCCCTCACCACTGCACACCCACCACTGCCCCTCACACCCACCACTGCCCCTCACACCCACCACTGCCCCTCCAACCCACCACTGCCCCTCACACCCACCACTGCACCTCACACCCACCACTGCCCCTCACACCCACCACTGCCCCTCACACCCACCACTGCCCCTCACACCCACCACTGCCCCTCACACCCACCACTGCCCCTCACCCCCACCACTGCCCCTCACACCCACCACTGCCCCTCACACCCACCACTGCCCCTCACCCCCACCAGCAGCAGCGGCTCACCTCCAGCACTGTGAGGGAGGTGAGTCCACTCGTGCGCCTGTAGTGCCCTGCACGCTCCCTGGGAGGTATAGGAGGGGCAAAGGAATTGGAGGGATAAGGCATGCGAAGGGGCAAGGCATGCGAAGGGGCAAGGCATGGGAAGGGGCAAAGCATCGGAAGGGGCAAGGCATTGGAAAGGGCAGGGCATGGGAGGTTGAAAATGGCTGGCAGTGATGGCATGTGTGGCAGGGGGAAGAGAGAGAGAGGGAGGGAGGGAGGGAGGGAGGGAGGGAGGGAGGGAGGGAGGGAGGGAGGGAGGGAGGGAGGAGGGAGGGAGGGAGGGATGGAGGGAGGGATGGAGGGAGGGATGGAGGGGGGATGGAGGGAGGGATGGAGGGAGGGAGGGAGGGAGGGATGGAGGGAGGGATGGAGGGAGGGATGGAGGGATGGAGGGATGGAGGGATGGAGGGATGGAGGGATGGAGGGATGGAGGGAGGGAGGGATGGAGGGAGGGGGAGGGAGGGATGGAGGGATGGAGGGATGGAGGGAGGGAGGGAGGGATGGAGGGATGGAGGGAGGGAGGGATGGAGGGAGGGAGGGAGGGATGGAGGGAGGGAGGGATGGAGGGAGGGAGGGATGGAGGGAGGGAGGGAGGGATGGAGGGAGGGAGGGATGGAGGGAGGGAGGGAGGAAGGGAGGGAGGGATGGAGGGAGGGAGGGAGGAGGGAGGGAGGGAGGGAGGGAGGGAGGGAGGGAGGGAGGGAGGGAGGGAGGGAGGGAGGGAGGGAGGGAGGGAGGGAGGGAGGGAGGGAGGGAGGGAGGGAGGGAGGGAGGGAGGGAGGAAGGGAGGGAGGGATGGAGGGAGGGAGGGAGGAAGGGAGGGAGGGAGGAGGGAGGGAGGGAGGGAGGGAGGGAGAGAGGGAGGGGGGGGGGGAGGGAGGGAGGGAGGGAGGGAGGGAGGGAGGGAGGGAGGGAGAGAGGAACATTGAGCCATCCATTTCTGCAGATTGATTGCATCTAGGCGGAGGAGCTGAAGTGTTGAGTAGCAAGGCAGAAACATGCATAGTCGTGACGAATATACAGGAGGCGGGAAAGCGGGGTGGGATGGGGTCGGTTGGGGGATTGATTGAGAGTCTGACCGGATGTAAGCAGCGAGGGCGAGCAGCATCTCCTGTGTGACCACCTCGTAGTGCACCCTTGCTGCCATGCTGGGCGCACCGCGCTGCCCTCCCACTCCCACTCCCACTGCCGCCTTCACCGCCACTGCGCAAGCGCCACGCTGCTGCTCAGAGTCAGGCTCTTCCTGCTGCTGCCCACTCTCCTCCCATGCTTTGTCGCCTGCTCCAGTGGCTGCCTGCCACGTGGCAGGCCAGCTCAGCCTGCCAGATGTGAAGTCCTTCCACTGTTGGCATCCGTGGCACGTGCAGGACACCACGCCCCTTGGGGAGATCTGAAGAGGCTCGTGAGGCAGGGCCGAAGAGGGCACGGAGGAGGGTGCATGGGGGCATGGAGAGGGGTTTCACAAGAGACGAAGGAGGGAGAAGAGGGTAAGAGAAAGGAAAAGGGAAGGGGAGAGGGAAGGGGAGGGGAAAAAGAGGGAGCAGGCGGAAGATAGGGGGGACGAGAGGGGGAGGGGTGGGGGTAGGCAAGGAGGGCAAGTAGTGGAAGAAGAGGATCACACCAGGAAAGGCAGGTGGGGATGGGGAAGTAGGAGTGAATGGAGTGGCGGTGGCTTGCTGGAGAGCTCTCGAGGTGAAGCGGAAGTGGAGTTGAGGGAAGGGGGAGGGGTAAGAGGACGGGGGGGAAGAGCAGATCGGGGAATAGAAGGGGCTGTGTGCGAGCATCCGTGGGAGGGGTGTTGGCAGGGCGGTGGGTAGAGAGGGGCGGGCAGGCACTTGGGCAAGGCGAGGAGGGCGAAAGGTAGCTAGGGAGGGAGGGGGTGAGTCAGCCGACCGACCGAGCGAACGGTCCTCCCTCCTCACTAGCTCACTTGGGACGGCCCGCCCCTCTCTTGCTCCAACTGAACCTTTGACACCAGTGGTGTTTCCTAAGAAAACAAAACAGAACAAAACGAGGAGTGCAAGGGAGAGGGGAGAGGGGAGAGGGGAGAGGGGAGAGGGACATAGTGGGATTCTGCGAGGCCCGGGGCGGAATCTCGAGGGGGGGGGAAGGGAAGGGAGGCCCGGAGGGGAAAGGAGAAGGGGACCGGGGGAGAGGGGGGGATGACGGTCAGGGGCGGTGGGGAGAGGAGGGCAGGCACGGCGGCCAGTGCGAGGAGGGTAAAAGGTCAATTAGGGAGGGAAGGGGATGGTGAGACAGCCGGCAGAGCCATACTCGGTTGCTCCAAATCAAGCGCTGCAGGTGGTGGTTACAAAGCCGCGCTCACCTTTAAAAAGCAGCGCTCGCCCTTTCAGAGCCGCGCTCGCCCTGCGCCGCCCTTCAGAGCGGGGCGGACGGGAGTGCTGCGTCGGGAGGATGCGCCGATCACGCTGATACGCGCATCACGCTGATACGCGCATCACGCTGATACGCGCATCACGCTGATACGCGCATCACGCTGATACGCGCATCACGCTGATGCGCCCATCACGCTGATACGCGCATCACGCTGATACGCGCATCACGCTGATACGCGCATCACGCTGATACGCGCATCACGCTGATACGCGCATCACGCTGATACGCGCATCACGCTGATACGCGCATCACGCTGATACGCGCATCACGCTGATGCGCCCATCACGCTGATGCGCCCATCACGCTGATGCGCCCATCACGCTGATGCGCCCATCACGCTGATGCGCCCATCACGCTGATGCGCCCATCACGCTGATGCGCCCATCACGCTGATGCGCCCATCACGCCGGGGGGAGACGTGAAGTCTGTGTTTGTGTTGATCGCACACTCGCGCGTGCTGCTAACGCGGCAATGCGGCAACATCAGCACGCGTAGCATCAGGGTATGCGCAAGCGGGAGTCACCTGCGGGGTGCGCGCGGGAGTCACCTGCGGGGAGCATGCAGAGCCGTCGAAGAGGCCGAACGCATCGACGACGTCGCGGAACGCGGGAAGGCCGAGCGACGGCCGGGAGTACACCGGCCGTCCGTGCCGCGTCGCCGAATACACGCGCGGAGCCGCCATGCGCGCAGAAAATGAGGCAGCTAGGATGCACGCGGCTTTCTACATTTCAACAAAAACGAATTCAACAAGAGCCGTTCGAGTTCATGAACGCTGGTGTCTCGCGGAAAGTTCCTCATCGTGACGGCTCCTACATTTCTCCGAGAACGCTGCTGTCGCTGTTGTTTGTGAAGGCTCTTCAACGGACAATGAGCACGGTCGATGGCTTGGGGAGAAGGTGTGGCGCGGACGGATGAACATGGCGTGTGGGATGGACGAGCGTAGCCCAATGAGGCTCGGTGACGCTCGGTAAGGTTCGGTGAAACCTGGATGTTACAAAAGCAAACACTCAATCAATAAAATATGTATATCTAAGTTCCTCATTCTTCATACGGTAATGCATTCTTACAGTAGATGCTAGATATTACAGGAACTAGAAGACCTCAGTTCTCCATCTTGGACATTCATATATTTTACAACTACGTGCAAGTACCGTACAAGGCAAATACAATACCTCATCTATCACCATTCAACCATCTTCCCATTCCCATCCCATCCCATCAATCATTAACAATCGTTGGCCCCTGCACACCTCCACCCGCCTGTGCTTGCTCCTCCAGTTTCTCCCACACCCTCCTCGCCATGCTCTCATATGTCGCCACCACTGCCGCCTCTGCCCCACCACTCCCTGCATCTGCCCCACCTTCTGCTGCTCCCCCACCTTCTGCTGCCCTGCCTACAGCTGCCGCACCTTCTGCCACCCCACCGTCTCTCCCGCTTGAAGCAGCAGCAGAGGCGCCGAGAGCAACGGGGAGGCCGCTGTCTGAGCGACTGCGGATGGACGGCAGGAGAGGCACCTGGGAGAGGGGGGAGGAGGGGCAGAAAGATCGGGGGAAGAGGGGGGAAGGGGAGAGAGAAAGGGGGGAAGGGGAGGGGACAGGGAGGGGTAGCCATGAAGAAGCAAGGAAAGGAAGGTTGCTTCAGGACAAGAGGGTAAGGACGGGGGAGGGGTGGAGGGGGGAAAGGAGGCCAAGTGTCGGAGGAAGGGTATGGGTGCGACGAACAGAACAGACGCAAAAGGGGCAGGGTAGGGGGGAAGCATATATAGCTCTGCTGAAATCGCCTCTGTCATAAGTGTGCATACGTCGAAACCGGTTATTGCCAAGTTGTTGCCGCCAAAGTTTTTCAAGCAAACACCAAACTTTCAACTTTTTAACTAAACAAGTCGCTGCCACGTAAAGACATGGCTCCAACCTGGGGCTCCATTGGAAAGCCCATCCACCTCTCCCACGAGCTTGTGGGACTTCTGAAATTCCTAGAAATTCTGTAAATGTCCGGAACCCACCTGTGCTGGCAACCCACGTCCCCCAGCAGCCCACCTCCCCCAGCAGCCCACCTCCCCCAGCAACCCACCTCCCCCAGCAACCCACCTCCCCCAGCAACCCACCTCCCCCAGCAACCCACCTCCCCCAGCAACCCACCTCTGCGAGGAACTCGATCCCCAAGTCAGCAGCAGCCTGCCTGGCCCCTCCATGGCCGAAGATGGTGGAGCGGTGGGAGCAGGCCGGGCAGGTGAAGTAACTCATGTTCTCCACCACTCCCAACACCTGCATGCAGGGACGGTCAGGGGTGCATAGAGTGGAGGGGCGCAAGCAGGGGCGCATGGAGGGATGCATGGAGGGATGCAAGGAGGGATGCAAGGAGGGATGCAAGGAGGGATGCATGGAGGGATGCATGGAGGGATGCAAGGAGGGATGCAAGGAGGGATGCAAGGAGGGATGCAAGGAGGGATGCAAGGAGGGATGCAAGGAGGGATGCAAGGAGGGATGCATGGAGGGATGCATGGAGGGATGCATGGAGGGATGCAAGGAGGGATGCAAGGAGGGATGCAAGGAGGGATGCATGGAGGGATGCAAGGAGGGATGCAAGGAGGGATGCATGGAGGGATGCATGGAGGGATGCATGGAGGGATGCATGGAGGGATGCAAGGAGGGATGCATGGAGGGATGCATGGAGGGATGCATGGAGGGATGCAAGGAGGGATGCAAGGAGGGATGCAAGGAGGGATGCAAGGAGGGATGCAAGGAGGGATGCAAGGAGGGATGCAAGGAGGGATGCATGGAGGGATGCATGGAGGGATGCATGGAGGGATGCAAGGAGGGATGCAAGGAGGGATGCAAGGAGGGATGCAAGGAGGGATGCATGGAGGGATGCATGGAGGGATGCATGGAGGGATGCATGGAGGGATGCAAGGAGGGATGCATGGAGGGATGCATGGAGGGATGCATGGAGGGATGCAAGGAGGGATGCATGGAGGGATGCAAGGAGGGATGCATGGAGGGATGCAAGGAGGGATGCAAGGAGGGGAGGACATGTGAAGGCAGGTGAAGTAACTCATGCTCTCCACCACTCCCAGCACCTGCATGCAGGGGCGGTCAGGGCCGCATGCAGGGGCAGTCAGGGCCGCATGCAGGGGCGGTCAGGGCCGCATGCAGGGGCGCATGAGGGGGTGCATGGAGGGATGCATGGCGGGGAGCATGGCGGGGATGGTTACGGAAACTTGGCCAAACTGGAAAATCAGAGATGCAGAAATGGAACCGGCACAGCCACACAAGAGTAACCATTGCGCTCCAGTTTCTGTATGGAAGATGTGAGAGAGGAGAGAAGAGCAGTGACCCCACCGGCACACTAGCCATCACCCAGCACCCCATCACCCACCATCCCAGCACCCCATCACCAACCATCCCAGCACCCCATGACCCACCATCCCAGCACCCCATGACCCACCATCCCACCAACCCATGACCCACCCACCATGCCACCACCCCATGACCCACCATGCCAGCACCCCATGACCCACCCACCATGCCACCACCCCCCCACCCACCGGCACGTTGACCTGGCGGAACATGGTCACTCCCCGCCGCGCATCCATCAGTGCGAGGTCCTGTGGTGTAGACACCACCACCGCTCCTGGTGAGGGGTTAGGCGAGAGAATGGATGGGTGGATGGTGGATGGCTAAACGGTTAGATGGATAAACGGGTGGATGTGGGGAAGCATGGGAAAGTGAGTCGGTGGAGGGATGCGATCAACTGAAGCGAATGAACCAGCTGCACATCCCAAGCTGCACCTCCCAAGTTGCACCTCCCAAGTTGCACCTCCCAAGTTGCACCTCCCAAGTTGCACCTCCCAAGTTGCACCTCCCAAGTTGCACCTCCCAAGTTGCACCTCCCAAGTTGCACCTCCCAAGTTGCACCTCCCAAGTTGCACCTCCCAAGTTGCACCTCCCAAGTTGCACCTCCCAAGTTGCACCTCCCAAGTTGCACCTCCCAAGTTGCACCTCCCAAGTTGCACCTCCCAAGTTGCACCTCCCAAGTTGCACCTCCCAAGTTGCACCTCCCAAGTTGCACCTCCCAAGTTGCACCTCCCAAGTTGCACCTCCCAAGTTGCACCTCCCAAGTTGCACCTCCCAAGTTGCACCTCCCAAGTTGCACCTCCCAAGATGCACCTCCCAAGTTGCACCTCCCAAGTTGCACCTCCCAAGTTGCACCTCCCAAGTTGCACCTCCCAAGTTGCACCTCCCAAGTTGCACCTCCCCACTGGCATGCAGTACGGCCACTACCAACACATGCGGCCACCACCAACACATGCAGCCACCACCAACACATGCGGCCACCACCAACACATGCGGCCACCACCAACACATGCGGCCACCACCAACACATGCAGCCACCACCAACACATGCAGCCACCACCAACACATGCGGCCACCACCAACACATGCGGCCACCACCAACACATGCGGCCACCACCAACACATGCAGCCACCACCAACACATGCAGCCACCACCAACACATGCAGCCACCACCAACACATGCAGCCACCACCAACACATGCAGCCACCACCAACACATGCAGCCACCACCAACACATGCAGCCACCACCAACACATGCAGCCATCACCAACACATGCAGCCACCACCAACACATGCAGCCACCACCAACACATGCAGCCACTACCAACACATGCAGCCACCACCAACACATGCAGCCACCACCAACACATGCAGCCACCACCAACACATGCAGCCACCACCAACACATGCAGCCACCACCAACACATGCAGCCACCACCAACACATGCAGCCACCACCAACACATGCAGCCACCCACACGCCCACCGCTTCATCCTATGCTGCAGCCTGCTGGCCTATGTTGCGCCTGACGCGTCAGGCGTTTTTGACGCTGGCATCTGGACGGGGCGTCCAGACGCTTGACGCCCAGGTTCCTCTGCCCTGGACGCTCGCTTGACACTAGTCCGGGCAGGGCAAAACTTTTCCCGGGCAGGGGTAAAAAAAACCTGCCTAGTAAGGCTACACAGGGGTTAGAATGCAACAAGTGCACATTTTTCACATTTTGTCGTACTTGCGTTCTCCCTCCACACCACCTGCAGAAGGTGTGGAGCCACTACCAGAATGACCGGCGCGACTAGAAGTAGCGTGACTGGCGGAGTAATTTAATCCCTTAACTTTAGCTAGGAAGGCTTAGTAGCGTGACTGACAGAGTCTAGGGTTAGGCAATGTCGAGAGAAACAGATCTGTGTAAAGTCGACCTAGATCTAATTCTCTAGTTTAGTTGGGGGTCGACCTGGTTGGGAGAAGTAGATATGGATGGGTATAAATGTGTGGGGGGAATAAATGTGGGTTGCGTTTTTGTAGGTAAAAAACGCAACCCCCACTTGGCGATTTCATCGCAATTCTGGTCGCGATAAAATCGCGCGTCAATTTCGTGCGGGGAAAAAAAAATCCGGGCTGCCCGAAAAAATTTCTCCCAAACGTCCAGCGTCCGGACGTGAGCGTCCGGACGCTGGACGCTGCCCTTCCAGAGCGTCAGGCGCAACATAGCTGCTGGCGTCATCCCAACCCACCCATTCCCTCCTCCCGTCCCGTCCATCCCATCCCATCCCCTCCCCCCCTCCCTCCCCTCCCCTCCCCTCCCCTCCCCTCCCCTCCCCTCCCCTCCCCCCCACCCCTCCCCCTCCCCCCCCCCCTCCCCTCCCCTCCCCTCCCCTCCCCTCCCCTCCCCTCCCCTCCCCTCCCCTCCCATCCCAACCCATCCCAACCCATGCAATCCGTCTGCCACGAACCTGAGAGCCGGACGCGCTGACTCATGCTGAGCTGCACGTCCCCCGTGCCGGGCGGCATGTCCACCACGAGCACGTCCAGCCGCCCCCACTCCGTCCCCCTTACAAGCTTCTCCACCGCCGCCATCACCATGGGCCCGCGCCACACGGCCGCCACGTCAGCAGGCATGAGGAAGCCCATGGACATGCAGAGCACACCGTGCGCCTGCAGCGGCAGCATGCGCGCGTTGGGGGAGGGGGATGCGAGCTGGGGGCGGCCGGCAGTGTCCAAGCCTAGGAGCTTGGGCAGTGAGGGGCCGAACACGTCCGCGTCTAGTAGCCCCACCTGCAGGCGCATGTGACGGGCGAGGGCCACTGCTAGGTTCACTGGGGGGAAAGAGGGAAGAGGGACGGAGGGCGAAGCGGGTGGGGCGAAGGGCCAAACACGTGAGCAGGCATGAGGAAGCCCATGGAAGCCCATGGACATGCAGAGCACGCCGTGCGCCTGCAGCGGCAGCATGCGCGCGTTGGGGGAGGGTGACGCCAGCAGGGGGCGCCCGGCTGTGGCCAGGTCGAGCAGGTTGGGCAGTGAAGGGCCGAACACGGCCGCATCTAGTAGCCCCACCTGCAGGCGCATGTGGCGTGAAAGAGCTACTGCCAGGTTCACTGGGGGGGGAAAGGCACGGGGTGAGAGGAACGGTGTGAGCAGGCATGAGGAAGCCCATGGACATGCAGAGCACACCGTGCGCGTGTGGCGCATGTGGCGTGAAAGAGCTACTGCCAGGTTCACTGCAGCAGGGAAGGGGGAAGGGGAGAGGGGGATTAGGGGAAGCGGGGGGAGGTGGGTGGAGGGGAAGGAGGCAGAGGCGAGCAGCCCCACCTGCAGGCGCATGTGACGTGAAAGGGCTACTGCCAGGTTCACTGGGGGGAAAGGAAGAGTGGGGATGGAATGAGGAAGAGTTAAGGCTCAGAATCAGGGTTCTAGGGGTTTAGGGAGGGAGGTGAATGGAAGGAGTCAGGGGCGAGGAAAGGGGGGGAAGGAGGGGGGTGGGGCATAGTGCAGGACGAGAAGGTTGGGAAGTGAGGGGCTGAAAACATGGGAGGTTGGAGCAGAGGCAGTTAGACTGTGAGGCGATGGAAGAAGCACTGTGCGGGCGATGGGCGAGAAGCATTGTGCGGTTCGCTGCTGGACGTGGGGAAGTGGGGACGGGGAGATGGGGGAATGGGTGATGATGGTATGGAGGAAAGAGGAGAGGGGAGATGGAGCAATGGGGAATGGGAGATGGAGAAGGGGGAGGGTGGTTTAGGGGGAAGTGAAAGGATGGGAGGATGGGGGGAAGGGAGTCGAGGGATGGGGGAATGGGGTATGCGGGGATGGTGGGGTAAGGGGAGTTAGGCATGGGATTACAGGCATGGGTTGAGAGGTATGGAGGGGAGAAACGGAATTACAGGCATGAGTGGAGAGGCACGGAGTGGGAGCGCGATGGGGAGTGAGGTGGGAAGGAGCAGGAGGGGGGAAAGGGTGGGATCTGATGTGCGGAGAGGAAGCGGAGTGAGGTCCGCGCTGGCTGTGAGGCGGCGAGGAGGGGAGGCGCACCGGCAGTGGTGGACTTGCCGACGCCGCCTTTCGCGGACGCCACCGCCACGATGTGCTTCACCCCGGGCAGCGATAGGCTGTCGCCGCCGCCGCCGCCGCCTCTGCTGCCGCTGCTGCATATTCCAACGCCGCTTCTTCTATCGCTGCTGCTGCCGCTGCTTACAGCCCCGCTGCTCCAAATACTCCTAGTGGCACTGCCGCTGCTGCCTAGTATAGTTCCGCTGCAGGTAGTCGTAGTGCGGAAAGCAGGGTGAAAAGGCCGATCCAGCTTGGGACCGGCGTGTGCATGCGATTCGCGCGGAGGAAGCGACCTGCCATGCGATTCTCGCGAAGCGGGCGAAAATTCAGAAGAACCTCTTAGGACAGTTCCAGCGGCGGCTTGCCCGCTAAATCGTCGAAGCCAGTCTTCGCCACGGCCGTGCGACGCGACGCTTCGACAGAGGCTCTTGCACTGCTGCAGTGCAAAGCCGCTCGACATTTTTCCTCCTGGCTACGAGGTGTGACAGTTGGGGGAACTTGCACTTCCAGGGTGGTGTTTCAGCCTTGATGCTTCTGTGGAAAGATCAATCACTTGTGCTTCGCTACAGGGTATCACTTTTCTTTCATGAGCGCGAGTGTACTCACCACCTGATTGATTCGCCAAGGACTCGACGCCTTGTTTTTAAAAGTGGAACAAGGGCAACAATTGATGGGGTGGGTGGGAAGATGGTTGGATGACAATAAATCAAGTACTGTATAATATTTACATTGTAGTTGCGTAAGATGGGGATGATAGTAATACATTTCAGCTAAGAATGCATTGCGTAAAATGGGAACTTTATAATTAAATCAAGTAAACCCCCATTTTCCTCTCCACCTAGCTTTACCGAGCGTCACCTAGCTTTACCGAGCGTCACCGAGCCTCGCTGGGCTCCACTCCTCCATTCGACAGGCCGTGTTCATCCATCCGAGCCGCCTCTTCTCTCCAAGTCGGCGATCGCGCTCACTGTCCGTTGAGGAGCCGTCACGACGAGGACCTTTCCGCGTGACAGCAGCGTTCACGAACCCGAGCGTCTCTTGTTGAAATCGCTTATAAGAAATGTAGAAAGCCGCGTGCATCCAAGCAATCTCAATTTCTGCGCGCATGGCGGCTCCGCGCGTGTATTCGGTGACGCACGGACGGCCGGCGTACTCCCAGCCATCGCTCGGCCTCTCCGCGTTCCGCGACGTCGTCGCTGCGTTCGGCCTCTTCGACGGCTCCGCGTGCACCCCGCAGGTGACTCCCGCGTGCGCGTGCGCTTGCACGCTTGCGCTGATGGTACTTCCGCACTGATGGTGCCGCGCTACCGCGTCAGCAGTACGCGCGAGTGTGCGCTCGACGCAAGCACCGTCAGCGCGATGCGCACATTCCCCGCACTGAAGGGCGCAGCGCAGGGCGAGCGCAGCTCTGGAAGGGCGAGAGTCTGCTCCCCTCCCCCCATTCCCTTCCCCCCTTCCACCAGGCTTCTCTACTCCCGCCCATTCTGCCTTCCTCCTTCGCACCCCCTTCCCTGCTCGTCCATCCTGCCTGCCGGACAGAGTCTAGTTGCCAACCGACGCGGAATCAGACCATTCATTGGAACAGTTTTCGTTTTGTTCTGTTTTGTTTTCTTAGGAAACACCACTGGTGTCAAAGGTTCAGTTGGAGCAAGAGAGGGGCGGGCCGTCCCAAGTGAGCTAGTGAGGAGGGAGGACCGTTCGCTCGGTCGGTCGGCTGACTCACCCCCTCCCTCCCTAGCTACCTTTCGCCCTCCTCGCCTTGCCCAAGTGCCTGCCCGCCCCTCTCTACCCACCGCCCTGCCAACACCCCTCCCACGGATGCTCGCACACAGCCCCTTCTATTCCCCGATCTGCTCTTCCCCCCCGTCCTCTTACCCCTCCCCCTTCCCTCAACTCCACTTCCGCTTCACCTCGAGAGCTCTCCAGCAAGCCACCGCCACTCCATTCACTCCTACTTCCCCATCCCCACCTGCCTTTCCTGGTGTGATCCTCTTCTTCCACTACTTGCCCTCCTTGCCTACCCCCACCCCTCCCCCTCTCGTCCCCCCTATCTTCCGCCTGCTCCCTCTTTTTCCCCTCCCCTTCCCTCTCCCCTTCCCTTTTCCTTTCTCTTACCCTCTTCTCCCTCCTTCGTCTCTTGTGAAACCCCTCTCCATGCCCCCATGCACCCTCCTCCGTGCCCTCTTCGGCCCTGCCTCACGAGCCTCTTCAGATCTCCCCAAGGGGCGTGGTGTCCTGCACGTGCCACGGATGCCAACAGTGGAAGGACTTCACATCTGGCAGGCTGAGCTGGCCTGCCACGTGGCAGGCAGCCACTGGAGCAGGCGACGAAGGGCGGAAGGAGAGTGGGCAGCAGCAGGAAGAGCCTGACTCTGAGCAGCAGCGTGGCGCTTGCGCAGTGGCGGTGAAGGCGGCAGTGGGCGTGGGAGAGGGAGGGCAGCGAGGTGCGCCCAGCATGGCAGCAAGGGTGCACTACGAGGTGGTCACACAGGAGATGCTGCTCGCCCTTGCTGCTTACATCCGGTCAGACGCTCACCAATCCTGCAATCCATCCCATTCCTTTCCCTTTTGGGTCTTCATGGGAATGCGTTTGGTTTGCCTTGATATGCAAGGCAACACTCTTGCTCCTCTGCATAGAAGCAATAAAGCGACTTGTTTTGCTCGCCAGAAAGTGTAGAAGTTTAAACGTTCCTCCCTCCCTTCCTCCCCCTCCCCCATGGCACCTGCACGCTCCCATGGATAAGATTTTGGGTGGGGATGAGGTTGGATAGGTTGGGGATGAAAAAGTCTACACCCAACCCAACCAAAAACTAAACTTGCTCAACCTAAAACTTTTGAAGGCTAACACTCAAAGTGCAGCCTATTTCCAACACGATTATCTTTTGCTCCCTGGACCTGCCTGTTGCACCCCTGCCATGTCTTTTTCTGAGATCTCCCTCCCCGCCTCACCATTTGCTCAACCATTCACCTGTCTTCTCTCCCTCAACTGCCCCCCCCCCCCCCCCCCCCCCCCCCCCCCCCGATGGGAACATAACGCGCCATGCACACTTCTCCGTGTCTGACTGTCTCCTCTCAACTCAATCTCCGTCTTCCCACCCCTCTCATGTGCGGCAGGCAGGTGGGGGCAGGCGATGGTCTGCTGGCCTGCAAGCTGCGGCAGTGCTTTCGAGAGTGGGGCGCAGAGGGGGAAGGAGAGGAGGGTGAGGTGAGGGAGGAGGGGCAACAACACGAGGAACAGCAGGAAGAACATCACCAGAGGAAAGTGGGCAAGGAGAGTGAAGAAGGGGTTGAACGTATGGTTGAGAAGCAGCCTCGCAAAGTGGTGAACGGGAATGACGAGGAGAGGGGGACTGGCGGTGAGTGGGTGAGGTTGGAGGGGCTGTGGATGAGAGTGATCGCCACTGATGCCATTCCTCGTAGCCTGCCTGGCGCTGCTGCTGCAAGGTTGGGAAGCGGTGCTTCCAGGGAGAACAATGGTTCTTTGAGGGAGGGCAGGGCTCGTGTGGAGGCAGGGGATGAAGTGATAGCGTGTGATGCGGAAGCAGCCATTGCAGAATACAAGCCCCACATTGTGATCGCATGCTGGATGGTGAGGCATGCTGCATGGTGAGTATACTGGAAAGAGTAAAATGGTGCGGATTCACTTGAGTTTCGGTCGTTTTTTTCTATCTTCTTCGTCTTCCACTTTTGTTGTAATCTTGTTCACGCATCCATTTTCAATCTGCTTCGTGCTCCAAATATTTTTTTTTTTGTCTTTGCCCCTTGTTGTGTATGTCTGTTTTCTTTCCATCTGGACTTAACTGTGCTTTGACTTGGTCCGTTGTTGTTGTTGTTTTTTTTTTTCTCTCTCTCTCTCCTTAATTTATGTAATTAATGTGGGAGTATATAGATGCACATGTCCGCACCATGGATATTTCCCCACCTTCTATCTTTTCCCCCTCCCATGCATTCAGCCGCTAGGAGTGGATTGGACAGAAGCCATAAGGCGGCAGGCGTCAGTGAGGGAGTATATCCTCGTGGGGGAGAAGGAGGGCGGCATTTGCGGTCATCACCTGCTGACTTGGCGCTTCCCTGGCTTGCTGACGTGTCAACGGGCTTGCAGGCTGAAGCGGAAGAGGATGTTGGAAGTGAGGGGGGAGAAAGAGGAGGAGGAAGAAGAGGAGGAAAGGGATGAAAAGGAAGAGGAAGATGGGGGGGACGAGAATGAGGAGGAGAGCAATGAGTGGAAGCAGGGTGGGAGTGAAGAGGATGAGGATGAAGGGCAATGTTCCTTGGAGCAGATGGGCCAGGACCATCACCAGGAGCAAGACGAGGAGTACAGGGTTGGAAATGGGCAGCCGATGAGAGAACGAGAGAGAAACAAGCATTGTGGAAATCTGCAGGCAAAGCCAGGAGAGTCTGAGCAGAAGATGAATAACAATGAGAAGGGGAAGGCAGTGGAGGCAGGTGGGGATGGGTGGGAGCGAGTGGATTGTGATTGGATCAGCCAGTGGCAGGTGGGCCGGACGGACGAGCGTTGGAGCTGCACCCGCCACTCGTTCACTGTGGCGTTCAGAAGATGCCCGCTGCAGAAGCTAAGCAATGCAGTGCAGAGCGATTGATTGCGGTGCATTGCAGTGCGAATTACTGCAGTTCAGGTTGCTGGGCTAAGACGAAGCCGTAGGATCTTTCGGAAACCAAGTATAAGATCTGTGAAACAGATAAAGGCCTGAATCAATGTTCTAGTACCATAAGAATTAGGGTAAATTGATCGCTTCGTTGCAAGTTGATACTTCTGGATCTGTCTTTAATGAAATCAACTGATACATAGGCTTCACGAACTAATAATTTAAGTTTGTTCAGAAACATCCATGGCCGATGCATCCTGACTCCTCTGTCCAGCAAAAGCTGGCATACATTCTACACTGTAGCAATATCTAGTGAAATATGCAACTATAGGAGGCAAGAATCACATTTACCGTGTTCGCAAACGAGGCACACACTATAGGTGTCTCATCCAGAAGTGGCCTAGTCAGTAGAAAGAGGCACTTCCGATAGATGAGGTCCTGGGATCGAACCCACCCCCGTGCAGGCGCGTCCTGCCAGCCCCATGAAAGGGGCTCGCACGTGCTCATCTAGGAATTGGATACCCCTAATTGGTTACGACCAATATATAACTTTAACTATAGGTGTCTCATCTTTCGCCACATCATTCCTCCGTGCCAATTGGATGTCGCACGATACTTGTCCCCCGTTCGCCAAAACCAGCAACCACGAACCACTTCCCCGCTTTTGCCCTGTCCGCACGATGCGCGCAGAGGAATGTGTCCTGTCACATGAATTCAGCTTCGGACATAATTTACAAGATGCGTCGCGAGCTCGACAATTGAACAAAAGACTGACTGACTCGAGGAAAATCTTGCTGATTATTTGTTTCACGACACTCTTGTTGCTGCCATTCCAGGAGAGTTGCTAGTCTCAACGATAGTGTAACTTAGTCCGATCTGTCGAACTCCTGCTTCCCATACGCGACTCAGCAGCAGGGAAAAAGCGGTGAGAGGCAGGCGAAAGGAAGCCCGTCTCTGCAAATGAGACGCATAAGCTCCACTTTTGAGTTCTTGGCCAGGGGGTGTACCCATTCCCCTGCAGAATAAGTGTAGCAGGCAAAGCTTGAAAACCGCCGTGTACAGTCGAAATGCTTTCTATGGGGAGTGTACGAGGGGGAGGATCAGGTGGCGATAAAAATACGGATGGGAAGACCCCATTGGATGTGCCTCCTGCTGCATTTGCCGGTGTGAGTGTTCCTCCATGCGCGACCCAGGTTGAGGAGGAGAGGACGAACAACAGTGGCTACGAGGGGCTTTTGGAATGAATACACATATTGAAGATGACGGCAGAGTGGCTTTGCCACGGCAGCGAGGGCGAACCAGGGACGGCAGTGCGACGACGAATAAGGGGCGGCAGGAGAGCAGGGGCTCAGAAAGGATCGGAGAAGCTTCAGCTGATGTCGCGGGCAGACATGGTGCATTACATGGACGTGAGAGGCGCGTGGGACTGGCGAGAGTGCGAGTGCTGCTTCGGCCGCGCAGTGAGCTACCGAGCACAGCGCGAGCTGGGCATGATCCGCCTGGGACACTTCCGTTGCGACCTTCGGAGGCAGCTGCCCGACTCCATCCCCCTTGTTCCCCAAGATCGACCATCCAGCGCCATGATTGAGGACTCTGCTAGAGTGCCCTTGAGGGCGTTGGAGCTTTTGGATGATTGGCCTCCCCAGCAGTTGTTCGGCGTCAAGTGTGTCATGGCGCCGATTCGCTGTGCCGAGGCAATTATTCTCGAGTGGATGGCTGAGCCTCGTGTGGGCGTGCTCATGGACCTGGGGAGGATCAGATCCCGCCTGCCTGCCATCCTGGCCGCTACAGATGCTGCTTCAACTGCACCTACTCCTGCAACAACTGCTGCCCCTGCGGCTGCTGCTGGTAGTGGAACGTGGGCGGCTCGCTGGGCTTCCTACCGCCGTGCTGTAAGCTTCGCTGCCTTTCTTACTCTTGTAGCGAGGTGCCCGCGCGTTGTGAACCTAAAGAGGTTGTGCATGCGCGGAGTGACCTTGGTTTATCCGGCAATCATGGTGCAGCTGGGGGCGGGCAGGCAGGTGGAGAACGACTGCATTGCGTCCATGCTGGTGCAGGTGCTGGGGGTGAAGGAGAGCGCTGACCTGAAAGAAGGGTTTGGGTTCTTCGTGCAGCATTTGCTGTCAGGCGGGCTGGAAAAGGCGCATGCTGATGAAAAGTGGAGGCGGGGAGTTGGGGGGGAGGGTGCTGAGAAGGCGCAGGGAGAGGAGGGACGGGCGGATGGCGAGATGATGGATACGGGTGGGGGCATGGAAAAGGAGGAGGAGGAGGAGGAGGAGGAGGAGGAGGAGGGCGCCCTGGCAAGGTTGATTGCCTCGTAGGCTGATGCTGGTGGTGGGAGGGACGGAGGGGAACCAAAACATAGCAGCGATGTGAGCAGAGGGGGAGAGAGACGCAGCAGCGAGGCGGCTAATGGAGCTGCTGGGGAGGGTGGCAGGGGGGGAAAGAATGGGCAGTGGCGGGAGAATCTGAAGGGACCTGTGTGGGAGAGGTATGTGGATGGCATGGCTTGGATTCTGGAGCATGGAGAGGGGGAAGGGAGGGAGTTTAGATGCAGCCACTGCAGTGAGGAGGGCAGCAGCTGCAGTGAGGAGGGCAGCCGCTGCAGTGAGGAGGGCAGCAACAATAATGGTGGTGACGTGCAGGTGAATGGAGCTCCCAAGGGTATGTATGTGAGTGGGGTAGGCGCCACGGAGTTGGCTCTTGCTTTTGCTATAGAGCTGTCTAAGGCAGAGAGCTGTGCAGAGGCGTGTATGTACATTTTGGATGGGAACAATGCCAATAAGGTGAGGGTGGAAGAGGCAGCAATTCAAGCAGCTAGAAGCAGGCTGAGAAGAGGGGTAGGTGGAAAGGGCAGAAAAGGGCGTTCAGGAGGAATAGGCGGAGATGGGGCAGCAGCAAACACGAGTGGGGCAGCAGCGAACACGAGTGGGGCAGCAGCAGACAGGAGTGGGGCAGCAGCAGACAGGAGTGGGGCAGCAGCGAACAAAATTCGAGCAGCAGCTAGCACGACCAGGGCAGTATCAAACACGATTTGGGCAGCAGCAAACACAAGTCGGGCAGCAGCAAACACAAGCGGGGCAGCAGCAAGCACGAGTGGTGCAGGAGCAAACAGGATGAGGGCAGCAGAAGCATCAGCAATGAGGAATGCATCTGCTTTCAGTGCTGCTGCTTCACCTGACAACCGGCCTTGTACACGAGTAGACAGCACCTGCGCCAGCTACAACCCTGGGCTAGTGCCCGTAAACACAAATCCCGTTTTTTCCGCCTTCACATATCGAGTTGCCCGCATCTTACTGTGGGTTCGATTCTACGGCTCAGATGTTGCCTTCGTAGACCGATCTGCAGGAGTAAGCCACAGAAAGGTATCTTGCAAATGCCCCATCCCTTTCGAGACCTCCCGAGCCTGCTTCTGAGGCTCGGTGGCATCCCCAAGCCTCTCCCTGATGCTGATTTTTCTTTAGAGTGGGAGGAATGGCCACAGGGCGATGAAGCTGCTTTGCAGCTTCCAGATGATTCCAATGCAAGATTCTTTCAGCTGGGTACTTTGGAGGAGAATGCAACGGAAGTGGAGAGTGAGCAGAGGCCTTCAAAATCTGGGAGGAAGCACATGAGGCGGAATGCACGAGGAGCCAAGGCACCAGGCCAAGCGAGTGACGGCAGTGGGGGTGATACAAACAGAGGGTTTGGCGAGGAGCAGAGGGCCATTCCGCATGCATCCATCATGGCTGTTGTACGGCCGCCTCCGAGAAGGAAGCTTCCCATCGTGCGCTGCGTGGCGGATGCAGAATCTCTTGTGGAAGGAATCAGCCAGGTTATGAGTCCACCGGCGTGTGCCTACTGCGTTCAGTGCTTCCGCGAATACTACCTCCTCATCCCATCCGTCGCCCTCATCGCCAAGTACGCCTATGGCCCCCTCTACATCCTCTTCAACCGCTTCTTATCCGTCTTCCCGCCACACTCGTACGGGTTCCACTCGCTTGTCAAGGACATGGGGTTGCCGCCATTTCCCTCCGGCCCGGCTTCGCCTATCAACCTTGCAATTCTGCGCAGTGAGGTAGAGAAGGAGCGCATTGCCTTCCTGCTGCTCGTGGCCCTCAAGTGGCTGGCCTCCATTCTGGATCTGGAGCAGTATGATGGCAAAGAGCTGTTGGAAGGGGATGGGATTCGAGTGAAGAAGAAGGCTGCGACGGGGAGGAAGAAAGGGAAGGCTCAGAGAGGGATGGGAAACGGAGGGGAGGAGGAGGAAGAGGAGGACGATGGAGAGGTGTGGGAGGAGTTGGAGTTGTGGTGCTTCACAGCCCAGAGTGCTTGGCCAACCAGCCTGCGTCTCTCGTTGAGGGATGCCGGTGTTGAATCGGAGGGCTCGGGTCTGAGTAATGTGTGCATGGGCAGTGAGGGGCAGCAGGAGAGGGTGGACATGGACACGCGGATTGCTGAGATGGTCAAAGCAGGTGCAGAGAAGATGCGCTTAAAGAGGGTGCAGCTCCGCCAGGGTGGTGCTGTGGCGAGCACGAGCAGCAGCACTAGCAGCACTAGAAGTGGTGTAGTTGAAGGTGGCAAGTGCAATGGGGGAAATGGCAAGAAGGCGGAGCTGCCACCTTACCTAAAGGCATGGCCTGGGGGGGTCAATCTAGTGGCGTGTTTGCGAGAGATGCTGCTGGGGGAGCCGTGCTACCGCCCTGCCTCCCCAGCTGCCCCGTCCGTCCCTCCTGCTGGTGTGAACACTACTGGTGCAGCGACAAGCACAGCTGCTTCTGCCCCTTCCTCCCTTGCTGCTCCAACAATTGTTGCTCCAAACCCTGCTGTCTCGTCTACCCACCCACCTGTGCACACCCTTGCTACCACGCCAACCTATGATGCTTCTTCTCCCCATGTCACCCTGACTACTGGTGCTGCAACAGGCACTGCAGATATTGCTGCACCCGTTGCAGATGCAGACGCCTCTGCTCCCGATGCTTGCAGGGAGAGTAGGTGCGGTGCTGCGGGTTGTGGGAGGGTGGAGGGTGGTGGTGTGAAGCTGAGGAGCTGCGGTGGGTGTGGCAAGGTGGCGTATTGCAGCAGAGAGTGCCAAAAGGCGCACTGGCCCTCCCACAAGCTCACATGCCCCAGCAGGTCCAGTGGCAAGGAGGGTGCCAGCCGAAGTGGCAAGGTGAGTGGAAAAGATGAGTGAGCTTGCAAGGAAAGGGCGGCTGTAGTGGGGTATAGCAGGGGGAACTGCCGAGTTGCTGAGATGAATTGCTGAGGCATAGGGGAATTGCTGATGCATGGGCAGCCGTAGTGGGGTATGGCAGGGGGAACCGCTGAGTTGATGAGGCATGGGGAATTGTTCATGCATGGGGAATTGGTGAGGCATTTAAAGCCAGGATCTCAAGTACGAGAATTGGCCTTCAATTGCAAAACACTTGCAGCTCGAGTCACCCTGTTTCTCCACGCGAATTGACTGGTTGGTTAGGGAGTTGAGTGTGCGACACACTCACGTTTTTGCCCCAGGTTCAATTGCAAAACACATTGCTGATACATGGGATTGTTCGGGTGTGACGGGAAATTGCTGGTGTTGGAGGTTCGTCACCGAACCAGATTCCGTGCCTCCCTGGTTCGGACTCAAATTTGCGATTTGAGCTTTGTTCGCACCCCTCGCTTCACCCATCGTCAGACTACCCACCTCGTTGACCAATCACAAGCAAGCTTCCCTCACCAACTTCCAGCTATTTTTTTTACTTGAGATCCCGGCTTTAAGGAATTGCTGAGGCATTTGGGGAATTGGTGAGGCATTTGGGGAATTGCTGAGGCATTTGGGGAATTGCTGAGGCATTTGGGAAATTGCTGAGGCGTTGCAAATTGCTGGGGCATGGGAACTGCTGGGGCATTGGGAACTGCTGGGGCATTGGGAACTGCTGGGGCATTGGGAACTGCTGGGGCATTGGGAACTGCTGGGGCATTGGGAACTGCTGGGGCATTGGGAACTGCTGGGGCATTGGGAACTGCTGGGGCATTGGGAACTGCTGGGGCATTGGGAACTGCTGGGGCATTGGGAACTGCTGGGTCATTGGCAAGGTGAGTGGCATGGTGAGTGGCATGGTGAGTGGCAAGGTGAGTGGAATGGTGAGTGGAATGGTGAGTGGAACGGTGTAGACAAGCCTAACATTTTCATGGAACGGTGAGTGATACAAGCATGTAAGGACAGCAGCTGAGCTGAAAGAGTGGTGCACAGTATGGTAAGTAGAGCTGTAGGTAAGGCTATGGCAGAGGCACCCATTCATTTCCCATGCTGTCAGAGGAAGGCTCATTTCATGGCTCATGTGCATGCGCCTGCCTCGTGCATTACTGGGGTGCGAAGGGACAATGACTGTACGTGTTTTGGCTTCCATCTGAAAAAACATGTAACATGCATTTAAATTCGTTTTCCTCCATCTGCTCCATCTCTCCCCACTTTGTCCACCTGTTTTCTTGAAACGCGCAGGTTCAATGCGATTCCGCAGCTCACATCCATGTCCCTTGAGAGAATATTTCCAGATTCTCCATGACAAGTGCTCGTTGTTGTTGTTGTTGTTGTTGTTGTTGTTTTTGTTGTTGTTGTTTTTTTTTTTTTTTTTTTTTTTTTTATTTTTTTATTTATGTTAAAGTATACACCGATGATGCAAGTGCACACAAACATATGTCAGTCGTAACTGAGCGTGAGAGGCCCGACAGCGTGCCAGCCTCAGGGGACGCCTCTAACGGGGATGCAGTGCCCCTCGCGCAAGATTCCATATCGCGCCAAAGTGACGGGACCATTTCCAGCCTTTGCCTTCCAGAGTCCGGATACGTCCAAGGAGCCGCCACTCCTGATCTGTCAGCGCATATGTCTTCCCTCCCTGCTTCAAATCGCCCTTCGTGTTCAACTTTTCCCCTGTTGCCCGAGTATACACCCGCACATGTAGCTTGAAAGCTGCTTCAATCCTCCTCAGCACCCGCCTGGCCCGAAATCTCTTGCCTCGAAACACGCAATCACACCGCTCTGCCCAAATCTGGTGTATTGCGATTGCCGAGAGAGATGCTTCCGGAAAAGCTGAGCTGGAAGCGGTGTTACCAAACAGTATGTCACCCAAGCTGTCAACATGCCTCGCCGGATTCAGCATGCGCAGAGCCTTCCGAACTGCTCCCACAACCGTCTGGATTCTTGGACAGGTGTAGAGGCAGTGTTCCAGAGTTTCAAACTCCCCGCAATGCGGGCAGACCGGCTTTCCACTCAAGAAAGAAAGCCTTTCACCCACTTGAAGGTTGAGACTGTGTATTCTCAGCAGCACATCACGCGGTCGGTTCGGTGTCACTAGCGAGTCCCGAATTTTCACAACCCTTTTCCAATCAATAACTCCTGCCCATCTGCCCGCCCAGAGCTCCCGTTTGGCCGATTGATGTTTCGACTGTTGCCAGTTTCCCTTCAACTCTTTTAGCGATGGAAGCCCTCCACCGCTGAAAGCCGCTGAGCGTTGAAGCGGAGTGCGGAGCTGGGGGGTGGGTGCGCTAGATTGCTCGGCTGAGAGGAGGCTCAGTTTCCAGCTCTGCGGTGCTGCTTCCCACGCCCGTAGAGCAAGCTTCGCCTGCTTTGAGCCACCGAGCTCCCTCGATAGGGTTTTGTCATCTTTTACACGCCAGCTCCCGTCACCATCCACGGTCAGCAGGTCTCCCAGACGCACCTCCCACAATTTCTCCGCGGCTTTCTGGCTGCCCACCGGGGTCGTGCCGTTCATCAGGAGATGGCGGTTGAACACGATGCGCTCCCTCGCAGCTTCCTCCCGCGATAAATCAAGCGGCGTGCTGGCGAGCGGCGACTGCATGAATTTGGCGCACGCAAGCTTCCACCGCTCGCTTTTCCCGCGCCAGCATTTGAGCAGCTTCACGTGAGCGACGAAAGTGTCCGTTCCAAGCGGCAGGTCCGCAGCCTGGAGCATGATGTCACGTTTCAGCGCGTTGGTCTCGGTGAGCAGCAGCCCGATTTTTCTGGCAATTAGGCAGGTAAGTGCGATCTCAGGGTCCTACACACCGACACCCCCCTCTTCCCTGGCCATGTACAACAACTCTCTGCTCCACAGTATAAATTTCTTGTCAAGATTACGAGACTGGAATGATGGAACTAACAGAGAAAATCAGTACAAATGGCAAACCCTAGAATTCTGTACCCCATATAGGCTAACCCACTGTAGCCTAACAAGCGCAACATATATAATGTTTGACACACCCCCATAGGCAAAGTGGGGGAGACCTAGGGGTCACAAGACCAGTCAAGGCAAAGCAAGGCAACAACAAGCTCAGGGTGGATCTCAAGGATACCACACAAATTCCGAGCACAAGCTAGTGGTCACAAGACCAGTTCACATGCAGTTTGATAACAGAGCATGAGATACAGTGATCACAACCTAGCAAGAGTAAACATGCAGGTATAGATATATATAGTGATCACAGTACAAGCAAAGTCAAGAGGTAAGCAAGTGAGGTCCAGTAGGCACAAGGCCTAGTAGAGTGCAGAAGCGCTGATGGTCACGAGGCTGAAGCGCCTTGGTGAACACATCAGCAGTGTTGGCCTCAGTGGCCACATAGCGAATACAAAGCTGACCGCGCTGCTGCAGCTCTCGAGCAAGGAAGTACCGCAGGGCGATGTGCTTCGTTCTGTGCTCCAGTCTGTGCTCCTCACACAAGGCAATGGCAGCCTTGTTGTCGACGTACAGTACTGGAGGAGAACGAGGCGGCTCTCCGAGGTCAGTCAGCAGGTAGGTCAGCCAGCGCAGCTCCTGGGCAGCCATGGCTGTAGCATAGATCTCAGCCTCGCAACTGGAGCCGAGAACAGAAGAAGAGCGTGTAGAGCGCCAAGAAACTGAGCCAGAGCCAAGGTTGAAGGTGTAACCCTGAGACGACCGCTGAGTGGCCTGGTCGTCTGCCCAAGAAGCGTCTGAGTGCCCTGTGAGTACAACTCGGTCTCGCCCTCCAAGCACAAGCCCCATGCCCGACGTACTGCACAAGTAGCGCAACACCCTCTTAGCGGCATCCATGTGCTCCTTCCTGTGACGGCCAGGAGCGACATAGCGTGCAAGGATGCTAAGAGGGTATGCAAGGTCAGGTCGAGTGCAGGTCATCAGGTACATGAGGCAGCCCACAAGCTCTGGATACGGGCCACTCGGCTCTACGGACTCATCCGAAGGCAGAGCTGAGAGCGAGTGACCGGTAGGCAGAGGAGTGGACTGAGGCGAGGAGTACGTGAAGCCAAAGCGCTGGAGAACCTGCTGCACCATGTGTGACTGAGTCAAGGTGATGGTGCGCCGTGCTCTGTCCCGGGTGATCCGCAAGCCAAGATAGCTTGTCAGCTCACCCAGGTCTGTGCACGTGTGTCTCCTCTGCAGCTCCGACTTCACGTAGGCGAGTCCTGCAGTGTCAGCAGTGGCAAAGACCAAGTCGTCGACGTACACGAGGATGTAGAACGGCGGCAGCGAAGTGTCGGTGCGCAGGAACAGCGACGGGTCAGCTGTAGAAGGCGCGAACCCAAGAGCCGCAAGTGTAGTCCTCAGTGTGTCGTGCCACTCACGCGGAGCCTGGCGGAGACCGTAGACCGGCCGCTGAAGCCTCTACTGGGTACCAGGAGGAAACGACCCAGTGAAGCCAGGTGGGCGGCGCAGCCAGATCTCCTCGTGCAGGCTGCCCTGCAAGAAAGCAGTGCTGAAGTCAAGTGAGTGAAGCTCGTAGTCGCGGTGAGCGGCTATGTGCAGCAGCACCCGAAGAGTAGTCATCTTCGGGGTGGGGGAGAAGGTCTGGAAGAAGTCAACTCCCTCTCGCTGACTGAAGCCTCGAGCCACGTAACGCGCCTTGAAGACAGGCGGAGAACCCGGCGGCCGCTTCACCCTGAAAATCCACATGCCACTGACGATGTTCGCCCCAGGAGGGGGAACCTCGTCGACGTAGGTGCGTGTGGACTTCCAGGAAGCCATCTCGGCGTCCATGGCTGTCTGCCACTGAGAGAAGTAGGGACCCGCCATCGCCTCAGCGTAAGTGCGTGGGGTCGGGATGTCTGGTGCATCCGAGTCTCCCTCAGGGGCAACTAGCAAGGACACGAGACGGGGCAAAGCAGCAGCAAGACACTGGAACTCCTCCTGTCTGTCCTCAAGGACGTCCGTGCCAAGAGCACACTCACCCCCGACGGACGGAGGACAGACAGACTCAGACTCAGACTCAGCAACAAGGCTAGCAGCGTAGTCTAGACGACAGGCAGCAGCAAAGTCAACCAACTCAGCGACCAGAGCAGACGCAGTCGAGGACTCAAAGGTAGGGTCAGTGACAACAGTAGCGAGGAGACGCGTGACAGTAGGGTGCTCAGCACGGTACCGGTCAGACTCAGGGTCCGGAACGTGAGGCAAAGAAGACGCGGGAGGAGACGGTAGAGGGACACGCTGAGGAGCAGTAGAGGGACGCAAAGTCATGTAGTGAGTGCCTGGGACAGGAGGAGGACGCTCACGACGGACACGACTACCAGTGCGAGTAGGACGAACAGGCGACGCAGGACGAGACTCAGGCTCACGACGCTCTGTAAGACCTCCTGTGGGACCAGTGTAAGGAGAGGGAGCAGGGAGAGGCGAGGTAGGCGGTAACTGTGACTGCGACTGGACAGGCAGAGGACACTCTACGGAGGGAGGAGGACAAGGAGGAGGAGCCTGCCCAAGAACCTGCTGAAGGAGCGGTACGAAGTACGGTCGCGGCCGCGCAGCGTCTCCAGAAGCAGAGGAGACTCCAGCGGCCGGGTCAACAGCACCAGCAGCAGCTCCACCAGCCGGGTCCTCAGCACCAGTAGCAGCTCCAACGCCCGGGTCCTCAGCAGCAGCAGCAGCGCCACCGCTCGGGTCCTCAGGTCCAGCAGCAGCTCCACCGTCCGAGTCCTCAGTACCAGCAGCAGCGCCACCGCCCGGGTCCTCAGCTCCAGCAGCAGCTCCAACGTCCGAGTCCTCAGCACCAGCTGCAGCGCCACCCCCAGGGTCCGCAGCACCAGGAGCACCACTCCGAAGACTGCAGCGCCGTGTGTACCACTCGCGGATCTGCTGAATGGGGGGGAGCTCCTGGGTAGGAGAGGAAGTACCGGGACGAGCTCCAGCAGCACCTCTCCGGAGGCGGCA